TCGCGGGGCATCTCGGGCGAGAAGGGCGGGATATCGAGTGCATCCTCCGTCGCGAAGTGAGCGGGGCAGGCAGAGACCCCGACAGGACCCCCCCCGTCGCTGGCCCTGATGGCGCTGCCATGCTCGCACTCCAGGAGCTCCTTGATCCGCAGCGAATCGCCCTCGATCCCCCCCCCTCCGCGTTCGTCAGCTGGTTGTGGATCGGGCCAGGCTGAGCTCGGCGAGGCGCTCGTGCTCGGGGATTGCCAGTCTCGTGGGGTCAGTGCTGCAGGGCCCTGGTCGCGGCCCAGATCTTCCTGCGGATCCTGATGATATCCTTGCTGTAGATCGCCCGCTGAGCGCGGTCGCGGGTGGCCCGCCGACGCGCCCCTAGCATCCGCAGCGCCTGCGTGAGCTCGTGGCCCTCGGGGAGCATGGGGACCTTCCTCGCAGGCGGGCCCCTGCCACAGGCAGCGGCAGCCAGGTGCGCTGCTTCCGCCATGGAAGTAATCGGCGTTGGGTTGCGGTCGGCGTAGCAGGCGCTGTGGCTCCAGCGCTGGGCGCGGTTGTCGAGGCAGGTCCAGCCCTCCATGGGCGCGCGACCTCCGTTCCAGAAATAGCGCCTCCCGGTGCCAAGGGTGAACTCCAGCTTGATGGCCGAGTGGTCGGATTGCGCGCTCTCGGCGGTCTCCTCGAGCGCGGTGCTGTCCTTCCAGGTGTCGCGAGCGGGTGTCAGGACATAATCGATCTGGGCTGGCGGGCGCTTGAAATCGCAGCGGCAGGTGGGTCCGCTGGCCGCCGCAGTGAACGCGTTCGCCGCCGCCAGGTCGTGCTGCGTGAGAAACCTCGCCAAGATCTCGGCGCGACGCGTGCGCTGACCGACTGGGAAGTCCCCAATCCAGCGCTCCTCGTCCGCCTGCGAGGGCGTCGAGGCCGTCTGCGCGTCCACGCCCGCGATCGGGCACGCCCCAGGCGGTGCCATCATGATCAGGTCGGGGAACTCCCCCGTGGAGCCCTCGCACTGACTGAGAGAATGCCCTGGAAAAAATGACTGCAGACTATCCAATGGTCCTTCTTGCGGATGCGAAATAGGCGCGCCGCCGAGCGCCCCCATGGCAGCGCGTCTCCGCTTAGAAAAAGTCGAGCCCGAGAGCGCACCAGCAGCCCCATCTGTTTTTGCCCCATCGACCCGCGGCGTGACCAGGTAGAGGTCGCCCTCGCCGACCTCCAGCCTCGTGGTCCTGCCCCAATAGCCGACCTCATGGGGGATGGCCACGTCGTAGTCGTGCTGCTCGCGCAGCGTCGCTGCAAAGTACTCGGCGTCGTGCTTCGCAATGCCCTGAGTGTTCCAGCTGATGAGCTTGAAGCACATCTGCTCCTCGGGCTCCTCCAGAGTCCTCTCCGTGTCCAGTCATTGGCCCGCGTTGACCTTGGCCTGGAACTCGACCCGGTTGAGGTGCACGCCCGTGTGGGCGCTGATGTCGGCCGCGACGTGCTCCTTGCAGCTCATGGGGCCCGTGGTCCTCGCCATCTCGCCGAACCTGTGCTGCTTCCACCAGATGATGCCTCGAATGTAGTCCAGCTCGAGGTCCGCCGCGTGCGCGCCCAGGTTGTCGGTCACCTCCTTCTTCGCGCGTGAGATTATCATTGACAACAGAATTTCTTCCGAGGTCTTTCTCCGCAGAGAACCAAAAGCGACGACCCAGGTGATGTGGCTGCGGCATAGTGATCTGCTTCCCTTTCATCGAACGTACCCAAGCCCACATGCGCCCCGAACTCGTGAAACGGACCTTCAGGAAACTGGCACGCTTGAGCGAGACGAACACCCCATCCTTTGCTTTGTCGGGAATGGCGTCGGTGAGCGCACGAGATTCGTTCAGGATGGTGTCGCGGGGTGTGTCCCAATCCCAGCCGCCAATAGTCACACACATCTTGTCGCAAGCCCTCCTCGGTCCCAACGAGACCGGCTGTGCTGGCGCGCCCTCGACCCCCGAGAAGCGTAGCGGACGCCCGACCGAGGAAGTCGCCGTGGATGAGGGAGCCGCCGAACGTCCCTCTCGTAGGTCTTTGATATCCTGCTCCATGTTGTTGAGCGCCCCTCGTGTCTCTCGCCGTCCCTGCGTACATTGTCGATGGACGTCTTCACGTCCGCGAAATCTTTCGCCATCAGTTCTTTGATCTCGGAGCGCAGCATTTCAATGAAATGCATCATCATCGTGGTCCCGTCCAGGCTGCTTGCACTGGCACTGGCTCGCGCGAGCGGCTGCGCGAGCCCATCGACAGCTAGCACTAGAAGGCAGAGTCGTTAAACAGTGGCTGATGATGATGATGAGGATGATGTTGGTGATGATGTGATGATGATGATGATGATGATGATGATGTGGGGATGTGAAGATGGTGATGTTGATGATGAGAACGCTGAATATGATGATGGCGATGATGACGGCAGCGATCATTATGCTGATCGTGATAAGGGTGCTCTTGCTGATGGCGATAAGAATGATGACGATGATACGAACTATGGCGGTGATCGATGATTATGACGATGATGGTGATGATGATGATGATTTTGGTATGATGATGTCAATGCTGATGGTGATGATGCTGTTCATGATGGTGACGATGATGAGGGAAGGAACACAAAAGGCACCGAACAAACAAAAAGTATAAACTGGACAGGAGACAGCAAGGAAAGACCGCACGACGACGCCTGCAGCTCTGCAGCCCCTCCCCCCAGGCTGCCAGCTCTTCGCCACGGGCAGCTCCGGACGGCCCCGGGGACCCAAAACAGGGGCCTCCCCGGTGCTCATAAAGAACCGCTCGAGGCGACGGCGGCGAAGAGGACGAAGACGACGACGACGTTGACGACGATAGCGACGACGACGACGGCCCAGGGACCCAACACGGGGACCCCCCGAAGCTCAGAAAGAACCGCTCGAAAAGACGATGACGAGGACGACCACGTAAACGTTGACGGCGGCGACGTTGGCGACGATAACAGAAAACGACGACGTAAACGATGACGACAATAAGGACCAATGGCGACGATGGCGACGACGACGACGTAAACGATGACGACGGCGGCAACGATGACAGAAAAAACGACGACGACGACGACGATGTAAGCGATGACGACGTACGTGGACGACGACTGGCTGCGGCGACGGCGGCGGTTGTGACGACCCTGGGCTCGCTGGAGCCTCGGGCGGCGTGGCGTCTCCGAGTGGCCACCCGAATTCACAGAGCCTCTCCCGCCCCGCCGACCGAGCCGAGGAGCGCCGCCCTCCACCCGCTGGGCCTCGACGGTCGTCGCTCCGCTCGACGCCGCCGCTGCCGAAGGAGATCGAGGCCCGAGGGTCGACGCTCGACGGTCGGAGAACACAGGGTCGATGAGAAGGGGATCTGTCGACCCCTACCCCAGGGTTCGACCCCCCCCCCCTCCTCCTTCTCCTCCTCCTCCTCCTCCTCCTCTTCCTCCTCCTCTCCTCCTCCTCCTCCTCTCCTCCCTCCTCCCTCCTCCTCCTCCTCCTCCTCCTCCTCCTCCTCATCCTCCTCCTCCTCCTCCTCCTCCTCCCTCCTCCTCCTCCTCCTCCTCCTCCTCCTCCTCCTCCTCCTCCTCCCCCCCCCCCTCCCGTGATCGGGGGGTGGTGGGTTCGACCCCCCTCCCCCCGCGCCCCTTCGGATGTCCGATGCCCCAGCGCTGTTTCGGCCTGAAGGGTTGATCAGGACTTGGATGTGAACGCAGGAGGCCAACAGAAGCTGTCGCGTCGCTGTCGCGTCGCCGAAGAAGGCCGCCGCGACGCCACGCAGAAGATGGCGAGCCGAGGCGGGTGGCCTTCTGAGAAGGCAAGAGGGCTTCTTAAAGGCCTTCTTGGTGGCCTCCGAGCCTTTCTACGAAGGCCCCTGCCATCTTAGAGGGCGACTCCCTCGCCCGCACCCCCCGACCAAAGATTTGCTCAACACTGGTCCCGGGATCCCTCCCGGCCTCCATCCTGGCCAGTTTCTGGAGCTGCGTCCAGCTGTGGCCACGAGGGGCGCCCCAGGAGGCCCAGAGAGGGCCGAGGACGTAGCACCCCCCTCCAGCGGTGGGTCCTGGGCGCACTTTCGGCCAGCAAGGGCCAAGATGCCTGGAGGCCGGGCGGCATCCGCCACAGCAGGCCGCCGCAGTCGCCGCCGAAGAAGGCCAGGGGCCACCTTCGTCGCCGCCGCAAGGCCGCCGCAGCTGCGCCGCTGCCGCCACCGCGGCGGCCGCCGAGGAGAGGTTTGCGGCAAGGGGCCGCTCGGCACCGCCGCCGAAGGTGGAGGGGAAGAGAACGGTGACCCTGACCAAGACTGAATGCGTAAACATCCTTTCGATCTCCAATCCGGGGATCATCCTCGCGCGCTGGCGGCTGCCGGGACGGATCATGGCCATGATCAGCAGCGACAAGATCACGCGACATCCTGGACATGCTCCCTGGGTTTCTTCCCTCGAGAAGGGCCGCCGAAGGGCCGCGGCCGCAGCGCCGCCGTCGAAAGGCCGCCGCCGCAATTCCGCCGCAGAGCTCACAGCCGCCGCGGATACGCCTCGAGGAGACGACAACGACGACGACGACGACGACGACGACGACGACGACGACGACGACGACGACGACAGCGGCGGCGGCGGCGACGACGACACGACGACGACGGCGGCACCGCAGCCGACGACAACGGCGGCGCCGATGACGACGACGACGACGACGACGACGACGGCGGCGACAACACGGAGACGACGGCGGCGCCGTCGCCGCCGCCGACGACGACGACGATGACGACGACGGGGGCGGCGACGGCGGCGCCGCCGCCGCCGCCGACGAACGATGGCGGCGGCGGCGGCGGCGGCGGCGGCGGCGGCGCCGACGACGACGACGACGACGGCGACGACGGTGGCGACAACACGGAGACGACGGCGGCGCCGTCGCACGACGGAGACGACGACGACGGCGGTGGCGGCGGCGCCGCCGACGACGATGACGAGGAGGAACGCCAGGGGGGGGCTCCTGCGGGCCGCCCGCGGCGCGCGCATCCTCGCTGGGCTTCGCCGCGGCGGCTCGCGAGATCTCCGCGAGCAGCGCGCCGAGCGTGGCGCAGCGGCGCACCGCCGCAAGGGGGAGCCGCACGCCGGCCTCGCTCCTGGCGCGGGTCCAGTGAGGTTTTGGGGCATGTTCGGGTGTTTTCGGTGGTTTCTCGAGCGCTTCGGCGCGAAAGTTTCAAAATTCGAGGATTCAGAGTTTGTGAAGGTTTTAATCGTTTTCGGTGTTCCACGAGCGGATTTCCAGCCTCGAGATGTCTGCTGGCGGTTGCGCCTGGCCGAGTGCGTTCTGGCGAGATGCCGCTGGAGGCCAGAGATATATTCCTGGCGCGGGTGGTCCGAGAATGTCGGATCTCTAGGAGGCTGGAGGCCTCCTCAGTGAGGTCCGAGCAGGTGGGGTCGGAGGAGCGCGCCGCATCGGAGTCGCACTGTCTGAGGGCCCTCGCCCTCAGGGGACCCATCCTTCAGGGCCCCTTCTCTTTGAACCGCCGACTCCAGGGGCTGGGAGTAGAGGCCTCCCAAATGGGCTCGAATAGATGGGGGCCGCACGCTGGTGTCGCGCCTGGCGCGAGGTGTCCATAGGTCTAGAACCAGGGATCCAAGACATTGAACAAATCAAGGAATGTGTTTCGCAACGTTCGGTCTCCAGAGCCTATGTTTGAGTTATTCGCGATAACGGGCGTGATCGGGGGGGCCCCCCCCCGATCACATCACGGCGGGTGTCGGCCTCCCGGAGCCTTTCTCGACCCCCCAGGCCCTCGGGAGGAGGAAGATAAAGAGAAAGGACAGGGAGCCGAGGAGGAAGATGGGATTGCGGAGGAATTGCTGGGCACATCTTGAGATTCTGCTGTTGCTGCTGCTGCTGCTGCTCCTTCTCCTCCTCCTCCTCCTCCTCCTCCTCCTCCTCCTCCTCCTCTCCCTTCTTCCCAAGTCGTCTTCGCCGCCGTCCTCCTCATGCAGAGGAGTGGGGGGGATACTCAGGAATATGCTTGTGAACGTTGAACGTTCGGGGGGGGGGCGTGTCCATACGCATGCCTTGTGAGCGTTCGGAGAGCTCGCCTGTATGACATTTGATCGCGATGCTGCAAGTTCTTGCGCAACTCTTCCCTTTCACGCGCTTCCCGTTTCATGTCAGGAAAGGTTTGAAAAACAGAGTGTTTCGCCTGAGACATCCTCGCCAAATCGTGCAGTTAGGGGTCGTTTCTCATGACGTATTTTGCTAAAGCTGGGCGTTTCGTCCGAGACATCCACGGAGCATGGGGGTCTTGAAATCGTTGGTCTAACTCGCGGACCTCCAAACATGAGCGTCTCTCCTGAGACATCCTCGCAAAACATGGGATACGCCAAGCGCTCTTGTGAGGCATCTTTTCGGAGCGATCTCGGATGACCTCCAAGATGGCCCAAGCGCTTCGCTTAAGAATCAGCGTTTCGCTCGAGACATCCCCTAAACAAATCCTTCGAACGGGCCCTCGAAACCATCTGGTTTCCTCCTCCTCCTCCTCCTCCTCCTCCTCCTCCACCTCCCAGTCGCGGACAACAGCGACGACGACGAATTCCTTGGAGCTGGAAACCCTTGAGATTCTCTGGAAACCCTGGAAGATTCCTTGAGACATGTGGGGGAAACAACGTGACGTGATTGGGGGGGGGGAGGGGCGGGGGCGATCACGAGCGTTATCGCCCAGACTAAAAAACAAAACAAGCTCCTAGAGGCCCTCGCTGGGCCCCAGGACCGTTAACACAAACGACTCAGGATGAAAAATTGGCCCTGTAATATGTTCGAGACTTCCAGGGACCCCGTATGAACAAAATCAAGACATCGAATCTCTTAGGAGGCTGGAGGCCGCGTAACTGGGGTCCGAGTAGATGGGGTCGGAGGACCGCGCCGCATCGTCGAGGCATCGGCGATGCATCGGCGACGTCGGCTGAACATCGGGCTCAGCACCGAGCCGCATCGCGGATGCATGGCCGATGCGTCGCGATCCTACGACCTCATCTACTCGGACCCCACCAGGGAGGCCCAGAGTCCAACGGTCCGAGGCTGGAGGATCGAGGCCCAAATATCCGAGGCCCTGAAAAAATGAGATCGGCTGGCTTCGGGCTATGTTCGGCCTCCAGGGGTCCTCAACTGGCCCCGGGACCGTCAAGAAATCGACTCAAGACGACAAACCGGCCCCGGGGAAGTGGTCCAGACCTCCAGGGCCCACGCATCGAAAACCTCGGAGAGCCAGATGTCCGGGGAGGCTCCGATGGCGTCGAGGGTGACCCGAGGGCGTCGAGGATCGGAGAGGGGCGGGTCCGAGTCTGGGGGATCGGGGCTCCGAGGACGTCAAGGGTGCCGAGGGCGTCGAGGATCGGGAGGGGGGCGGCTTCGAGGCTGGAGACTCGCAGCTCCGAGGGCGTCGAAGGTGCCCTGGGCGTCAAGGTCGAGGACCGGGGGCTCGAGGATCGGGGATTCGAGGGCCGAGGCCTGAGGCCCGAGGTTGCGGACCAGGGGTTCGAGGAGCGAGGCTCGTGGATCGAGGTTCGGAGGATCGAGGCTCGAGGATCGAGGCTCGAGGCTCGACGCTCGAAGATCGAGGATCGAGGCTCGAGGATCGAGGATCGAGGATCGAGGATCGAGGACCCGAGGATCGGGGTCCGAGTCTCGAGTCTCGAGGCTCGAGACCCGAGGATCGGAGCTTTGGGTTTTCGGGAGCCGCCGTAGGCCTCTGGAGCCAGGCAAAGGGGGAACTGTGTAGAGCGGGAGAGGATGACAATGGAGGATGCGGAAGAGGGAAGACGATCCTCGAGCCTCGATCCCCGAGCCCCGATCCTCGAGCCTCGAGCCTCGATCCTCGAATACTCGATCGACTAGCCTGGGTTCCTCGAACCCCGGGTCCTCGCCCCCTGGCCCTCGACCTCGACGCGGAGAATGATGAGGACGAGGAGGCGGAGGCGCAGGATGGAGGAGGCGGAGGGGGAACCTAACGAGGAGAAGGATTGAGATGATAACAGGAGGTGATACCGAGGAGCGTGAGTAGGAAGCTTAGGAGGGAATGGGTTGAAGATAATGAGCAGTAAGGTGAGGTGCGGATGACTACGGGGAGCCGCGCGTGCGTGCAAGCCAGGCCAAGTCGATGAAAGACAACCCGATACACTGCTCATCACTTGCCAAACCAGCCTTCCGAACTTGACCCAGGGTCTAATCTTGGCTGAACGGTCGGGAGACACGAACGTGCAGGCAGGGAGGGGGACACGGCCAAGCGATCATGTGGGCGACCAAGGCGCTGCACCCGAGCAGCCAGCGACTGCGAAACGAAACGACGCATGGAGCGTGGGACGCATCGGGAGTACATGACTAGAATATCCGGGTCCTGTGGGAAGGGTGATGTGAACAACGGGGAGATATGAGTCGAAGGGTGTGCGAGAAAGACACGGAAAGGATGAGGAGAAAGCAGATGCGGAGCACGAGCCCTCCCGCAGGAGGGTTGGAGAGCAAGGCTCCTGAGGGCGCTGCTCAGCTTCAAGATCCGCAGCGAATCGAGGCCCAACAAGGAGTCACCTCGCACGGGTATTACAGCAGGAGCGGGAAAGAATACCAGGGGTAGGGGCAGACATAGGCGGAGGTGGTGGTAACGGCTGTCTACGGTGGTGGAAGCGAAGAGGGTACGGCATGTTTGAGTCGCCGCGACTTTGGCACTGGTTTATGACGCCGCGTGGATCGTTCAAGCTTGAACGATTGGCGGCTTCTCGATCGCCGAATCGTTCCATGCTGACCGATTCTCGGCCACCGGCGGCGCTCGATCTTGAACACAGGCGGCGGGGCCGCCGCCGCGTCGACACGGCACGAACCCTTGGCTGAACTTTCGCGGCGAACCCGGGGGGGGGGGACATGAGAGGGGGCAAGCCTTTCTTGCCAAAGGCGATGGGCCTTTTCAAAAGCTCCCCGGCCTTCTGAGCAGCGCCTCTGTCTTCGAAGCAGGCTCCCGAAACTCCTCAGACGCCTGGAGGTCTTCCGAGCCTTTCCTCCGACTTCCCCCCTGGGCCCGCCGCCTAGAAGAGCGTGCTGCAGGAGGAGTGGGGCTCTCGGCCACGCCTCCGACCAGGTGCACCACGCATCACCATCAAGACCAGAGGGACACCATCAAGACCAGAGGCTTCGGGCCCACGCTCCGACGGACGGCCACCCGCACTCGGACTCACGCGAGATCCAGGGATGCCTGCCACGGGATCCTGAACTTGCCGCACTCGAGCCTCGCGGGGGAAAGGCCCCGCGCTGGCCCGCGTCAGGCTCTGGGCCGACTTCCCCCCCGGGCTCGCCGCCGAAAACCGACCGGCGCACCCGACGGCGCAGGCGCCCGCCAACGTACGAGGAGAGGAATAGGAAATAGGAGGTGGGGCGCCGAGGAGGCGGGGCCCCGCGGTGCCCCCGCGGCCGTCGAGGAGGGAGCGTTTCGCCCAGCGGCGAGAAGATCCAGCCTGAGGAGGAGGAGGGAGGAAGAGGAGGAGGAAGAGGAGGATGAGGAGGAGGAGGAGGAGGAGGAGGAGGAGGAGGAGGAGCAGCAGGAGAAGGATGAGGACGATGAGGAGGAGGAGGGAGCACAGGTAGCGTGGCGAAGGAGGAGGAGGCACAGGAACTGGGGAGGGAGGAGGACGAGGCGGAGGAGAAGGAGGAGGAGGAGGAGGTGGAGGAGGAAGAGGAAAACTATGTTTTGGACTATATTGTACGGTCCCTGGGAATTGCCCGTGGGGCCGGGAGACTCCCCGGCGCGGGGAACCATCCGCCCCCTGGGCCTTCAAGTGCCGCGCCTTAGGGAGCCAAGGACGCCGCTGCCCAAGGGGGTAGGTACCCTTGGCCCTTCGCGGGTTCGTCCCCGTCCGCCAGGGGAACGGGATGGGCGCGTCCGACTTAGCTCCCCCGGCCTTCAGCCCCCGCCCCGCGGCCCTGCGCGGCCCCCCTGGTGCAGCGGGCGGGCCCCCCAGGCCCGCCCCGGCTTCCCCCCTCCCCCGCGCACCCAGCCCGCTCCCCCCCCGGCACCATGGCAGTCGAGGAGGAGGAGGAGGAGCAGGAGGAGGCGGAGGAGGAGGAGAGGAGGGGGAATTGGGGAGGGAGGAGGAGGAGGAGGAGGAGGAGGAGGAGGAGGAGGAGGAGGAGGAGGAGGAGGAGGAGGAGGAGGAGGAGGAGGAGGAGGAGGAGGAGGAGGAGGAGGAGGAGGAGGAGGAGGAGGAGGAGGAGGAGGAGGAGGAGGAGGAGGAGGAGAGAGGAGGAGGAGCAGAAGGAGGGGGAGGAGGAGGAGGAGGAGGAGGAGGAGGAGGAGGAGGAGGAGGAGGAGGAGGAGGAGGAGGAGAGGGAGGAGGAGGCGGAGGAGGAGGAGGCGGAGGAGTAAGGATAATAATGATGATGCTGCTGATGATGATGCTGATGATGCTGCTGCTGCTGATGATGATGATGATGGTGATGATGATGATGTAAAGGACGATGATGATGCTGATGATGCTGATGATGATGATGATGCTTCATGATGCTGATGATGCTGATTATGATGCTGCTTATGATGCTGCTTATGATGCTGATGCTGTTGGTGATGCCAAGATGCTGCTGATGATGATGATGATGATGATGATGATGATGATGATGATGATGATGTTGATCATGATCATGCTGCTGATGATGATGAGTATAATGATACTGATGCGTATAATGATAATGATGATGATGATGATGATGATGATGATGATGATGATGATGATGATGATGATGGTGATGATGATGATGATGATGATGATGATGCTGATGATGATAATAACGATGCGGAGGAGGAGGAGGAGGAGAAGGAGGAGGAGGAGGAGGAGGAGGAGGAGGGGGAGAAGAGAGGAGGAAGAGGAGGAGGAGGATCAGGAGGAGGAGGAGGAGGAGGAGGAGGAAGGGGAGAAGAGGGAGGAGGAGGAAGGAGGAGGAGGCACAGGAAGCGGGGAGGGAGGGAGGAGGAGGAGCAGGAGGAACTAGGGAGGGAGGAGGAGGAGGAGGAGAAGGAGGAGGAGGAGGAGGAGGAGGAACAGGAGGAGCAGGAGGAGAAGGAGGAGGAGGGAGAGGGAGAGGAAGAGGAGGAGGAGGAGGACCAATGAAAACCCAAGGGCCATCAAAGATGTTGGAATACACCCTCCTCCAAGCCCCCTCTTCTTAGGCCCCCACGACGGTTCATTTCCATTGAGGGATCTGTCTCGTTGGAAGACAACCGTTTGAAGACACGGAACCATGCCTAAATATCGTTCTCGGGATTCCAGCGCCACGGATCAACCTGACTGTTGCGTCTTGACGATCCTGGATCGTGCCAGAACGCCGTTCTTGGGATTCCAACACCACGAATCAACGTAACTGCCGCAAAAATCCTGAAGCCCTCCAAAACACCATTGCTGGTAGGTTGATCGTGGGAACCCGTGAAACTCTGTCAAATGTTATGAGCGAATGTGCGTGGCGCTGAGGAGAGAAATAACCACATGTTGGAAAGGAGCCGCCCTCAATCCTCGAAGCTCTTGGAACTTGTTGGAACGACTGCGCGCGACGCTAAGGCGAGAATCACAGTTTGAAAACGGGCCATCCTCAATCCTCGAAGCTCTTGGAAAATGTCTGGAACGAATGCGCGCGGCGCTAAGGCGAGAACCACATGTTGAAAACGGGTTATCCTCAACCCGTAAAGTCCTGGCAATTGTTTCGAACGAATGCGCGCGGCGCTAAGGCGAGAGACACATGTTGAAAACCACCCGCCCTCCATCTGCGAAGCTGCTGCAAATTTGGACGCGTCAGAAACTTAGCTGGCGAGGAAATCTCTGGCAAAACGCCCGGCCCGCCCTGCAAGCTGGCCTCGGGGTGCGATAGGAAGAAGTTAGGTAAGACCGAAAGGGATGGAGGAGGAGGAGGACGAGACGAGGAGGAGGAGGAGGAGGAGGAGGAGGAGGAGGAGGAGGAAGAGGAGGAGGAGGAGGGGAGGAAGAGGAGGAGGAGGAGGAGGAGGAGGAGGAGGAGGAGGAGGGAGGAGGGGGAGGGAGGGAGAGAAGGGAGCAGGAAGGAGGGAGGAGGGATGAGGAAGGATGGAGGAGGAGGGAGGGGGGAGGGAGGAGGGAGGAGGGAGGAGGGAGGAGAGGAGGAGAGGAGGGTGGAAGGGGGAAGGAGAGGAAGGAAGAAGGAGGAAGGAGGGAGGAGGAACGAGAAAGGAGCAGGAGGGGGAAAATGAGGAAAAGGAGGAGGAGGAGGACGAGGAGGAGGGGGAGAAGGAGGAGGAAGAGGAGGAGGAGGACGAGGAGGAGGCGGAGGAAGGGAGGAGGAGCAGGAGGAGGAGGAGGAGAAGGACGAGGAGGAGGAGGAGAAGGAGGAGAAGGAGGAGGGGGAGGAGGGAGGAGGAGGAGGAGGGAGGAGGAGGAGGGGGAGGAGGAGGAGGAGGAGAGGAGGAGGAGGAGGAGGAGGAGGAGGAGGTGAGGAGCAGGAGGAGGAGGAGGTGGAGGAGGAGGAGGAGGAGGAAGAGGAGAAGGAGGAGGAGGAGGAGGAATAGGATTTGATGAGCAGCGGGAGGGGCCTGAGCAGGAGCAGGAGGAGGAGGAGGAGGAGGAGGAAGAAGAAGAGGTGGAGGAGGAGGAGGAGGAGGAGGAGGAGGAGGAGGAGGAGGGGGGAGATTGAGGAGGAGGAGTATAATTACAAGGAGGAGGAAGAGGCGGAAGAGGAGGAGCAGGAAGAGGAGGAGGAGGAGGAGGCCGAGGAGGAGGCACAGGAAGCGGGGAGGGAGGAAGAGGAGGAGGAGGAATAACTGGGGAGGGTGGAGGAGGAAGCGGAGGAACTGTGGAGGGTGGACGAAGAGGCGGAGGAGGGGGAGGATGAGGAGGAGGAGGAGTACGGATGATGACGATGCTGATGCTGCTGATGATGATGACGAGCATGCTGATGATGATGATGGTGCTGCTGATGGTGATGGTGATGGTGATGATGATGATGATGATGATGATGATGATGATGATGATGATGATGATGATGATGATGATGATACTGATGATGATGGTGATGCTGATGATGCTGATGATGATGATCGACTGGCTGGGCGTAGGCGGGTCTGGAGCTCTGCTGGGACCGCGGCTGGAGGAAGCAGCGTACGCGGCCACGGGGCAGCGCAGACCACGTTTAAGCGGGAAGTATACCGCTGGGTCCACGTCGGGCGCCAGCGGAGGAAATACAGCTCGGGTGCGAAGTTGGCCCCTGGCTCCCTTGTCGCGGAGTGCTGAAGCATCCGCAGGTCGGCTGCTAGCATATCCTGTTCTGAGTGGCGGGGTAAAAAAAAAGCCTGCCGTCATTTTCTCTCGGCGCTGCCTGCTCGAAAACTGCAAGCGGTGCAACGCTCGAGGCCGAGTGTGGAAATCCTTGTGGCAGATCGGGCAATGTGTTCCGATGATGTAATACCGAGCCTGTATCTTGACGCCGTGGGCGTGGCGTTGGTGAGCTGCCAAGCCCTTCGCCCCTTTGCACTGCTTACCGTACGTGGGGCAGGGGAGGAGCGGGTCCTTGGACACGAAGGGACTGGCTGCCGCCTGCTTGCCTCGCACGCGCTTCGCGGAGGAGGGAGGGCGCTCAGCAGGGTGGGGGCACGCGCTGAACTCATGACACAAGGGCCTCCACCTGCTCTGTTGGGCGGTGATGTATTCCTTCCATTATCCTGGAAAAGCGTAGGGGCCCCCCAAGACTGCGAAACCGTCAAAGTGAAACCGCTGAAGATTTCTCAAATCATGCGATAGCTCAAGCGCGGACGGGGGCTTCGGAATCGCAGAAAGACAGTTGACTACTAGCGGGAGGGAGCAGGCTTCTGCGGACAAAGGCAGGCGAGCCTACGAGCTCGGACCAACGAGTGCAACGAAGGGGCAGACAGGGCCTCACGGACAGCAGCGTCGGTAATGGTGCCGCGGGCGCCATGCCTCATGGTGCCGTTGGTCCCTGCGCCGGACGCGGTGGTACTGAGCCTCGAGCGGCTGCTTGCCTTTTTTTCCAGCTGTCCCCTCGAGGCAGCAACGGCGTAGAGGGCACGCGAGAGGATTAATGACTGCGCGAGCATGAGCTTCGTGTTCAGCTGGATGTGCGAGGAGCCGAAGATCGGCATCGCCAGCGGCGCGAAGGACTACTTGGCCTTGGTGGCCTTGCGGCGTGGATCGGCTTGGCGCCCGCCATCGTCTTGTAGTATGGTCCCGGGGTGCTGGAAATGATGAGCCAGTTGAAGGACGTTGCCGTGCTGTGTAACGAACTCCTCCTTACCTTGACGCAGTGCGCACTCTCGGCGGAGCTTGCAAGAGCGTGGACCGAAGAGCTTCACCATGGCTGCTGATTTGCCGCGGCCGAAATTGATGGCGAGGCCAATCCGTCACGGTGCGGTCCTCTTGATGCTGCTGGAACATGAAGACCGCGTCGTCCACGTACTTAGCGTCATTGGGCGCGTTGGCAGTCTCGTGCACATTGGGCCCATAATCGGGGATGGTGGCCCAAGGTACAGCGAGCACGGCCGGCGCGAGCATCTGCAGGGGGATGCCCTCTTCGATGAGGCGGCGTCTCGCGCGTCCAAGGCTCAGCTCGTAGCTGAGGTTGAAGCATAGGGCGCCTAGCCTGCATCCTTGGCGGGCTCCGCGCCGAGCGAATACAACGTCGTCTCCGTCGCCTCGGACTGCGCGCCACGTGCCGGTGTGCCAATCGGCCGCTCGGCGCACTTCGTCTTCATGTAGGCCTGCTTGTTAGTGGAGAGGCGGGCGCTGCTAAGGTAGGTTTGTACTTCATGGGGAACCTCAGGAGGAATGCCACCACGCTGACGATCTTCGGCGAGCGTGGGTAGCTGTAGTTGGTCCACAACGGAAAGGTACTCGCGGGTGATGGAATCGAAGGTCTTGGCAAGGTCGAGAAAAAGTAATGCCCATGACGTTCGCGTGGTAAGGATCGGGAACATGAGGGGGGCATTCGAGAAGATCTGCACAGCGTGGGATCATGCCACCCTCAACACATACTACAAAACCATAGTGATGTTTGCTTGAGTTTCCTCGAAAATGCTGTACGGACGGGAAGCTTGCATGGCATTGAAAGCGGGCCGGGACAGACTCGATGGTTTCCAAACGAAGTGCGCAACATACAGCCTGCGTGTTACTCGCGGATCAGCAATGCCGCAGCGAGGGCGACAGCAAACGCTAAGCCAGCATCAGTACTCCTACTACAGCGACAGCTACGACTTCCTGGAGAACTTGCAGCAGACTGCCCTGGCAGCTTTCCGGGAAGTATGGTTGTTGAGACGGGGGGGGCGTGCAGCATGCTGCCGAGAGAATGGGGCAGTGCTCGCGCCAGGGGGCGCCCCCGCCTGCAGTAGGGCCAAATATATGCACGCGAGGGCTTTAGAAGTAACGGGCAATGACCCAGTTCGCTTGCACGCTCGTTTACAGGGAGCTCCAGAGCAATGGCTCAAGGCCGCAGGATAATATTGCCGATAGTATCTCCCGTCTCTTCCTTTCCCTCCCCCCCCCCCCTCCCTCAGAGAACGACTTGTGCAGCTCGCCATCGCGACGCGCTGGGGCGAAGTGTCCGGCGCGTGTGCCCCAAAGCTCTTTACTGGCTCGGCGCCCCACTCACTTTTCCCTTGCGTGTAATTGTGCAGGTGAGTCTGCAAATTTTTCTGCTTTGCCGATGCGCCGTCATGGCGCGACTTCCTGCTCTGCTCTGTCTGTTCTGCACGTCGGCCTCGCAGAGGCTGCCAGGGCGCCACCTGCAGGCTTCGTTCAACGATGGACGAAACATGGGTCGACGTTCCAGTCGCCCACGACTGCTCAGTGGCACCACCAGCTGAGGATCTCTCTGAGCAAACACTCCATGATGTCCAGGCTCTGCCCGGTCGTCGCGATCCTGTCCACGAGGCAGACTGACGTCACCATGCCCGGCAGACGGCCACCACCATAACCTGGGCGGCCTGGGCCCAGCCGCCAGGGCACAGCGGGGTGGGCAACGCTTGGTCTGCACGCGCCGCTGACACCAAGATCCCTGTGACCCCCGACGATTCCGATCGCCGGGGGAGGAGGGGCAGGAAAAGCAAGAGGATGAAGAGGAAACGGATGATGAGGAGGAGGCGGGGGGGGGGGGGGGGAGGAGGGGTGATGATGACAACGAGGGCGATGATGATGGTGGTGGTGATGATAAGGCTGCTGATGATGATGATGCTGATGATGGCGATGCTGAAGATGATGATCATGAGGAGGAGGAGGAGGAGGAGGAGGAGGAGGAGGAGGAGGAGGCGCGGGAAGTGGGGAGGGATGGAGGAGGAGGAGGAGGAGGAGGATACAGAGGAACTGGGAAAGGAGGAGGATGAGGAGGGGCACGATGAGGAGGACGAGGATGGAGGAGGAGGAGAAGGAGGAAGCGAAGGCGTAGGATGCGGGGAGGGAAGGAGGTAGGAGAGGAGGCGCAGGAACCGGGGAGGGAGGCGAATGATGATGATGATGATGATGATGAGGAGGAGGAGGAGGAGGAGGAGGCTCGCTCGCTCGCAATCTGCGCGTGGCCAGGTTTCACAGCTCGTGAGTCGAAGTTGGCCGCAGGGCGTTCGGGAAGCACTATGCCCCCGCCGATGTCAAAACACAAGGGGGGCCCCTACCCCAGCAATCAGCTTGGGGACTCCCTGATTGCAGCACAAGGTCGAGAGGCCCGTAAGTGCATACACAGACAACATCTCGGAGACGCAGAGCGGACAAGAGGGACAGCGGCGGCAGCCAGGGGCGGCAGCAGCAGAGGACAAGAGGGGGAGAGATAGGCCAGCCAGGCCCCTATGCCTAGGCTGGGGCACCAGTGGGGCAGTAGACGAGGAACTACCTCGCTCGAATCCCCAGCAATTCAACCAAAGACTGCATTCGAACGAACTACTTACCCCTAGAACTTCCAGATCCTTTCCCACGGCCTCTATGTCTGCCTCGGACTTTGGGGCGCATCAGCGGGCCCCACTCACCTTGAGACTGCGCCAACCCGCGCTCAGAGATCGAACCCAGGGCCCGCCGAGATTCTACATGGACTTCCTGTGGCGGGCTCCGCGAAGCATTTTCTCCAGCGAATTCTAAACTCGGTGCTCCTGGGTGGTTTTCGGTGGGGGGCCCAGCTTCGGCGCGCCCCCGAGGGCCATGAACAGGGCCGCGAGAACCGAATTCAGAGGAATCCTCAGGCCCCCAGGTCCCTGAACCCACGAGTTGACGAAGAAAGTGTGGCGGACGAGAGGCGGAGCTCCTTCCTTCACGAAGGCGGTCTTCGCCTTCCAGTAGCGTAGCGTCTCGCATGCCACGGCCATCGGCTGCGCCTTCACGTGCTGGATGAGCTTCGTCACGGACTGCGCGTGATCCTGCAGGTCCGGGTTCTGCTTCAGCGCTTCCTGGTTGATCAGCGACTCGAGAGCCGCCAAGCTCACCTGCAAGCTGGGGGGGCCCAGTCCGTGGTCCGCGGGCTTGTCCCTCACCGTGTCTGAGTACTTCTGAGCGGCTCCGATGGCGGCGAAGTTGATGCTGTGTTATTTCGGCAGCAAGTGTGTGCTGAAGAGGCATCCTTCGACTGCTCGTTGACGCTGTGCGTTGTTGAGAACTCCTTTCATCATCTCGGTCGCAGTCTCGCCGTCCGCGTCGCTGTCCTCCGCCGTGGCCGTGTCGGCTGCCCCCCTGGGGGAGTGCTGGCGGCGGCTCTTGGAGTCGCGCGGCTCGTGCTGCTTGCCGCTGCCTCCAGCGCTGAACGAGTTCGTCTGAGAATCGGCCAGGCGCTTCTTCGCCTGGTCCAGCTCCGTCTGGCCGACTGGCATCGCCCACGACATGAGATGCGGCGAAGGAGAAGGTGGCGTCGGACAATTCTATATGTGTGCGTACATGTCTCTGCAGAGCCTCGGGCGACGGATGATCCCTGCTGCAGGCTGGGCACTCAAACGTGGGTGGTAAAATCGGCTCGTGATGAATCGGGGATCGATCGCATTGACAGCTGCGCTTGAGAGATAGGCGTCGAACGTGCTGACGCGAGATCGCGACGGTCGAGTGCGTGCTCATGCACCAGGGGCACTGATTCGTGACAGTGAGGAGCTAGGAGAGGGCCCGATGACCGTGACTACCCTCCGTGCGAAAACGCACGTGTGCGTGCAGGCCTGTTGATCATGAAACTCTAGCCCGCATTCTGAACCATCTGCTTTCGTCTCACTGCAACGCCAAACTCGAGGAAGGGGGCACTGGGTCAAGATCGTGCGGTTCGCCTCGTCCTCCTGCAGCAGCAGCTCTTCCACCGCCCTCCACCCGTCTCTCACCCGTCTCATCGATCCCCCCTCCCAGAACCTGTTGCGGAGCTTGCCAAAGTTTAAGTTGTGAAACCTCGTGCTGAACTCGTCGGTGAAAACTCTCAGATGGATGTGTCCCATTGCGGTGAGCAGCTCGGGGCCCTTAAGAACACGCGCCAGGAGTTTTAGGTCATTGAGAGCTTGAAGGGCCCGGGGGTTCCCACGAACCTGACCGGCATCGTCCCGAGTAAGAAGACCAGTTTCACAGGTAGTGCATTCTTCGCCACGCATCTGCCCAAAGATCGCTGCTAGTAGCTGTTTGTTCTCAGAGCGGTGGGCAGCAATCTCTCGCAGCCAGCGTGGCCGTCGGATACGGAGTTCTAGCTGCGAGGGGGCTAAGCCAAGCTTGGTCCAGATACGCACAGACGAGAGCGATATATGTTTGATGGCGCCGTCGGCTTGCGCGATCTTCAGAACTGCAGCGCCCTTCAGCAGCGCGCGGCCCCACTGTGACAATAGGCCGTCTATAAGCCTATAGTCGCTCGCCGAGGGAATGCAGGCCTCGAGGCCGCTGAGTCCTGCTCCCTGCGCGCGCGCCTGAAATGCAAGAAGCTGTATACGTAGCGGAACATGACTAACATACCAGAACCGTCCCATGGCATACCATGCGCTCCTCATACTCTCGTGTATCGCGTGCCACTGCTGTGCTGTGGTGCCCGCGCCGTGATATTGTGCACCTGGATACTTTGCACGCGTGCTGATGCGACCTGGTAGACAACGGACAGGATCAGTAAACGAGCGAGACTCACCAACAGCGCCAGGCCCAACACAACGAGGCACTGTAA